AGTGGTGGGGGGCGGCCCGAGGGGCTGGGAGAGGGTCCGGCCCACGCTGCGCCTGGGCTGGGACTGGTCCCGCCGGCGCAGGGTAGCAGGAAACTCTCCTCACACTCCAATCTTCAACTTCTGTTCACATATTTTGTAGGCTCTTTTTCTGGGTTGACATTCATTTGCAACACTTAACCTGCTGTGTGAGTGGAACAGAGTTCTTCTCACAATACCAGCTCTTCCATCACTTTCATTTCCTCATGCCATTTCTTGAGGACACTGTTCCCACAATTATCAATTTTTGAAGACGTAGTGCCTCTCACACATTATCTCACACAAATGTGTTTACACTGTTGTCATCCCCTTGCTGTGTCTCCCAGACTTCTGCCTCTTGCCTTGCTCACTCTTTAATGTCTATGCCAGCCACTTACCTCTTCTTCTCTCCTTACCCCAGTTTATTCTGGCTCTGATGCCAATATTGTCCTGAAACCTTCCTGCCAAGCTAATTTGGGGCCGGAATTGATGTTGTCCATCCTACTTCTCCATTCCCAACTCTTCCTAATGTGTAACAGAAATGCCTCTTGTGTAGTAGCTTGAGTCCAAAACTATGTTTGAGATATCCTACTTCAGTCTCTGTATATTTCTTGTTCCACCTACCTACATTGGTAAACTGACAGCTCTCTGTCCTGATGTTCCATTTGCCACAGGTCATCATCAGTGTGTTGTCTCCTAACCCTCTATCTCTGCCTTTAAGCTAAATCCCAACCTCAAATTCTCCTATACTTGAAACATATCCCATGGCTATTTCACCAGATCTAGAGCTCACAAACAGAAAAAAGTTGTGCTATGTCCTTCCACTTCCCTGGTGTAAAGAGTAGGTATCCAGTGGGTGCTGAAGCTATTTCTTCGCCTTTTTGAACACTCTACCCAAACCTGCTATTACTTTGATTTCCCTGATCTCCCTCTGCTCCATTTGCCCCCATTCTTTTGCTATTTCTGTAGATACTTTTTCTTTGAAATGCAGCAGTGAGTCTCTGACAAATCCCGCCCAATGTTCACTGTGTACATTGCAGGTACTCGAACAACCACATTTTTCTTTATATCAGAGACAGAGTGCTGTTCCTGTCCTATACATCCAAAGGGACCATTTATCATCTGTTATTGTACACATGACAAAATCTCACTTTCAGAGCTCTGTATGATTACACAAATGTAGGGACACAGCTAGCACACATCAGGCTGACAAAACTTTTTTAAGAAGTGCTGGCACTGTCACCCTAGGCAATGTCCTGAACGGACTCATGCTCTTAGTAGGGATGGACTACTGCCATCATCAAAAGAACAGAGCATGGAAGGCAGTGAATTGCCTAGAGCACCACCTGAGACCTGTATTGACCTGCATAGAACTAGCCTCTGTGTCTCACATGGTCTCATAATTGATATTCTTCCTCCCTCACACCATGTGTAAATGTTCATGGTGTTAAGTGTTTGTGTGTACTGAGGTGCATGGGTGAACCCTTCAGTTGTATTTAATTGTAATGATTCTGTGATCAGAAAAGACACCATTTTACACTATGGGATGCAAGTATATTTCCTTCCCCTCATTTGATAGGCTTTGTTAGAGTTAGAGTCTAGATGTTGCCCAAAGCCTCCTGTTTTTCCCAGGGTGGCTGAATAGGAAAGTACACTGCTAGGCTTAAGGGTGCTAGGGTTAGTGTGTGTGTGATTGTAGGATCCGTCCACTGATTGGATTGGCACTGCCCTCATCCCGGTAGATTGACAACAGTAGAAAGTGGAAAAAGAGGCTCATGTCCAAACATTGGTCTCATTTCTTTGCTGCCTTTCCATGCTATGGCTTGTTACCCATCTGCCATGTACCCCCTAATCTGGGTGTGAACCTATTGTGGACCAAAACATCTTTAGCCTGTGAATGTAAAAATCCTTTGCTATTTTACCTTTAGGTTTTCTGTGTTTTGTCTAAGCAAGGAGAGAAAACTGCCTTTATGAAAGACGTTATGCTATTTTCCAGATACTAATTTGAAAAAAAGTCCTTTCTCTATGTTCCAGACTAATTTCTAAGCATGCTTGATAAATAAAAAGCATCTTACCAATGTAACTATTGCGCATTCAGCTGGAAATCGTGCAATATGAAAAATATTAGCAACAAATCGGCAAATAGAGTTCAATCAGGATCATCCTCAAAATATTCCTTTGGAATCTTGTCTTTCTAGGAGGAGAAATGATACAATGCCAGTATTTACTGAAGAAAGGTGTTAAATGATGTTAAGACATCTCTTTTCATCATCTGCTGAGGTGTCTTAAAAATTGAAATTGGGTTGTATATCTTTAAATTTTCAAATATAAACACTGGAACTTTTACTGTCTATAATGACATTTTCATCAGTGATGACCACATGTACAGTAGAAGCCCCATGAATAACCACCTTGTGAATCATAAGCATCATTGTTGTGGAAGTGAACTGTATAAAGGCTTTACATGCCTGGAATCATCATCAGTGTATCTCTCAGAATGTATACTATATTGCTAAGCAGTACAAAATCATCACTTCTTTCTACCTTTGTTAACAAAATTCTGAAATTCATGTTTAGCCTGAAAGTGATCTTGGTGATATGTTGTATTTCCTTGTGATAACATGTAAAAAGTATAATTAGTGTCCCATATCTACATACTGTAGGGATCAAGTCACATACACTGATCAGTAGTCACATGACTATGAAGTGCCAAGAAAAGATACCATATATAGGAAGTAAGTTTGAAGTTTTTATGTCATGTTGAGCCTGATTCTCTTCAAAGAATTTTGTGTCCAAAGGCTTTTACTAGCTCATAGTTGTGTTGCTCAGGGCTACTGAAATGTATTTTTTGAAAATCTATGTGTTCTGGTAGTTGAATACTACCTTTCCTCACCATAGCTCAATGAGAATACTGCAAGCTGCTTCTCACTTTTTAATAGCCCTGATGGAAAAGTCCCTTTTCTAGGAAGATGAGATACAACATGACGTGGGAAAGAATATGATTTCATTTCAATGAAAGTTTGTGATGTAGTTATCTCAACTAATGTGAAAGGGACATGGCATGAAAGAAACACAAGTGTATTGGCTAAAAAAATTATAATCTCAACCACAGTGACACTTACTGTCATTGGATGCAATCTCTCATCAAAAATATCCAGGGATCTATTTGCCTCCCTGTAAAAGAGAAAGTACATGCAAGTGCAATCACATACATCTTATTGAAATACCTGGTAGTGGTAGAGGAGGATGGGGAAAAGGCCATACCGTTCAGTACACCAGAGTGCCCACCTCGCCTCCTGGAATTTAGGCTTAACACTTCTTTTACTTTAGTGCATCAAATAATGAAAAGGTTTGACTAACATAATCAGCTACACGTGCCTCTAAAGAATGATCTTCCTCAATAGCCATTCTCTTAAAGCAACAGTGATACGGAATGAAGTCTTGAAATATATCAATGTGAATGAGGTAAAGATTTCCAGGTTTCTTCTTGTAAATCATGTGAAGGTAGTTTAAAAACTTAGCTGCCTTTTCAGAGGGAACCAGTATTTTCATGAAAGTACAGTGTGCTGTCTTAAAAGGTGTTTTGCAGTGGTCTTTGGACCTCTACAGATTTCCCTGTCTCTTTCTCAGGAGGCTCATGAGATCAAAGTGTTCTTGCAAATGGATGAAGACACTTTTTGATTTTTTGCAGATGGACACGTTTAATGCTAGTCTGTAAATTGAGGTAAGACTGATCTCTCCACCTGAATCAAGCCTGTGGTACCAAATTACATCAGCAGTCAGTATGTCTCACTGTCACTTGTAGTTTTTCTTGAAAGCCATTTTTTTCTGAAGATTGTGCTTGATGAAACAGGGAAGACTAGTGTTAGTAAGTCTTAGCCCTTGTTTCATATATGCTAGATAAGTGAAATGCTCACATAAAACATTTTTGCATAATGAAGTGTATTTGTGCTCAGAAAAGCCATTTGTGATTTAGTTGTGAGCTACACAGGCTGCTTGACATAATACACCCTTTCTGCATGAAACTACATGTATCAAAATTTGAAAAAAAAATGGGTCTACATGGAAAATGAACATATATTTCTTGCCAATGTCAAAAGTCAAGTAATAATACTGACAATCAAAATTCTGGAATATATATACCTTCCATTGTGCATGTGACAACTTCTCAATACCTGGAAGACGTTTTGCTCAGAAGGGTGATGATAATAATACAAGTTTTTTAGTTATTAGAGACAAATCTGACCCAGTCGTGTCCAAGCTGAACAATGTATATTATCAATCATGTAACGTTAAAAATATTATTCACTTTGTAAGTGGTCCAATAAAAATGAACGTAGTAATAGCAAAGGTACCGTGTAAAATCTCTTTGAACCTAATTTAAGAAATTCAGCCTTGCAGTGTTGTGTCCACAAGTATATGAAAATTTTAAAAGTGCACATATTCACAAATATATCTCTATGAGAATATGTTGTTTGATCACTTTTTCAAAAGTCATTGAAAATGAGCCAGTACACATGAGAATCTAATTTTCTTCTGTTCAGTCAAGTGAGAGGATGCAATAAGTTCAGATAGACATTTTTTCACGTAATTGAAATTAGGAACTGAAATGTCACGTAGTGATAAAACCTAGTTATATCTTGTTTTTTCTGTTAGCAAGGTGGTTCTTGACAGGAGTGACCTTTTCCAACAGTGGACATTGTTGGTTATCGCCACATGAATGAGAAAGCTACTGGCATCTCCTAGGCAGAGGGCAGTACCCCTGTGAAACATCCTGTGCTGCATAGTAGAACGCCCACCTCACAGAAGATCCTAACTCAGAATGGCAGGAGGTCCATGCACAGGAAACACTGCATGAACACTTCTCCACTGTGCACACAGATGTTTGCATACACAGATTAATGTACATTCAACTGTCAATTTTAATTTCTAAACAGTGAACATCAATTTAATACATAGAGGCCCACATTCTCTTGGATACTTAAGAGAAATTTTTCAGCAGTCCTAGTTAAATAATGCAAAATGATGTACTAGTGTAGGTTACCAAAAGCACAATACAATTTTTGATGCCTTCAGTCAGGACCTAATCCTAATGAGGTATTTCACAAATTAATCGCAAGAGTAAGATAGGTTCTGAAGTACTTACCTACTCTCTATGTGATAATATAGTGCAAAGATGACACTATAAAAGAAAAATATACAACACTTTTGACTTAATCTATCTTTTTGTGAAATGGAAGACATATTTTTAAGGGAGGACATCCATAAACTTGAAGTCCTCCAGTGTCAGAAGAGTACCATATGGTCACTTTCCAATCTATAAAATTTCATCAGCTATTAGCATATTTAGAGGCCAGATATAGGCAATGTCATGTTAGAACACATTTCTTTTTATTGTACATCATTACACATTTTCCTGTCATTTCCAAACATAAAACTTCTTATCCTGGAGAATTTCTCCATATATGTCCAGTGTGCTTAAGAATAAACCACACAATATTTGTCTTAAAAAAGTTGGAGGCCATACATGTTTTCAGTTGGCTTAATTCATTATTCTCCTGTACATTGTTTTCATTCTTTTTCTAAATAATAGAAGTGCTATACTGTACACAAAAAAATCACTTTTCATGACAAGCAAACTTCCTAGTAAATGTATGTCCTCACCCACCTGATAATACTTTTCTTTGTAAAATAATCAGTGATAAATTTGCAGCGTACATCTATATAGTACATTATTTGTAGCAAATGTTTTAAAGGTAGTTTAAAGTATTAACAAAAAGAACCATCTCCTCAGGTATGATTTATATCTAAGTTATGCACAGGTGCCATATATTAGGGAACAAAATGGTACACTTGGGTGAGCTCGGGGTTTCACTTGCCCTCACTGTCCAAAAAGAAGCTTAACATCGAGAAAAATCTAATCTGATTTTTTAAAAAAAATCCTCATAGTGTTTTAAAATGTAAACCATCTCAGAGCACACACATCCAAGAACATTTCTATTGGGTTTGAATCAGCTTTTACTCCAAATGGAGTTTCATCACAGAATGACCATCAGACACTGAAAAGGCTTTCCAAACCTTACTTGAAATTACATCCGAAGGATTTTTTTTTCTGCTGGCTCAGTCTGCCTTAAGGGCAGGTCTAGTACGGCAAGTGGAGGTGGTCATCGAAGTGGGATCCCCTGTGCCTGATTGGGTTTTCCAGAGCAGGCGCTGAAACAACTGAGCTAACCCATAGTGATAGTGTTTAAAGATATCATGTCTTTATCTTGTACTATGATTAACTACTATGAAGATAACAATATGCAATGTGTGAATTATTGCAACTGTCCTACTAATCTGTATTGAAACTGGATCATTGCTATTTCTCAGTAAAATTAATTTAAAACAAAGAACTTTCATCCAGCAACCAAGTATAACAAATAAGGAAACGAAGTATTATCCCAAATCCCACCATTCAGCAGCAATTCATTTCCTATACACTATTCTGTTTATCCTTGTTATGCCCAAACTTTCCTGCACAATGGAATGACCTGAGGAGCTTTACAACAATCGTGAATTGCAGCTAGACTCATACTGATTAAATGAAATGGGCCTGAATTGGAACATAGTGTCTTCAAAATTTCCACAAGTGATTTCAGAAGGAGATAGTTAAGATCAGCATCACTGAGAAAGCCTCTGTGTACGTTGTTGCACCTCCTCTTCATCCCTCAATTCCTAAAGTGTTGTGAGTATCCATGTAACAAAGGGACAGGAAGCCTGGGAAGATCAGTGGGTTAGCAGACATATATTTTGAGAATGTTGAGTATTAACCCAAAGGTTAACCTATCCTCTTGAGAACAATGGCCTATGACTCCATGAGAAAAATTTAGAAGTTTTTCCTACATTCCTACTTGCCCTAGTGCACATGAAATATTTAATTGAAAGTTGTGAAAAGTCTTTAGTTATTATCTTTTATTTTTATACTTCTCTGCTGGATGGTTAAGACCATTGCCAGTCAAGCAGAAGACCCAATACTATTATGCACTACTGGATGGTTTTAGAATATTTTGCTGAGTTAACACACCTCTAATATTCAAATGATAGAAGTAAACAAAAAAGGGGATACAGATGAATGTCCATTTTGTATCTGTGTATTCAAAATGGTTAGGATAGACATATAGTTACATTCTCTTAATGAATAAAGGGATTTGTTCTGATAGTGTTTGTAGATAGGATATCATGTCCGCATCTCTTACAGCAATTAACCACTAGGAAGAATGTATGCAATGTGTTAATTATTGATACTGTCCTACCCATTTGGTTTGAAACTGTCTCATTACTATTTGTTCCTCAATAAAACTATGGGAAAAATAATCAAATATCTATAAATGTACATGGTTAGAGAATTATAAAATGTATATTTATAATCCATGAATAGACATGTGCTCAGTGGTAAAATTCCCATTAAATCCAGAAAAAAAAAAACTTATAGCACTTCAGAATGCAGAGCTCTGTACAGTAGGAGGAAAAGCAGTAAGAAAGTAGCTAAGAAAGATGATTCCTGCCTGCCCACAGAGTAGGAATTTCTGCCTTGTTCCAGAAATCCCCGAACCCAGAACTAGCCCAGGTCAATGAGTGTGTGGGAGAGCTTCCTGCTACCCTGCACCTCTGGGACCTGTCCCACCCCAGGCGCAGCAAGGGCCAGACCCTCTTCCACCCCCTTGGGCTCCCCCCACCACTCCACAGTATCTCCCCAACCCTGCCAGCCGAGTAGGAATTTCTGCCGCATTCTGGTAAACCCACAGACCCACTCCTAGCCCAGGTCCAGAGTGTGTGGAGAGCTTCCAGCTACCCTGCACCGGCAGGACCCGTCCCAGCACAGGGGCAGCGTGGACCGAACCCTCTCCCACCCCCTTGGGCAGTCCCCCACCACTCCACAGCACCTCCGCCACCCCACCCACCGAATAGGAATTTCTGCCCTGTTCCAGGAACCCGCAGAACCAGTCCTAGCCCAGGTCCGGTGAGTTTGTGGGAGAGCTTCCTCTTCCCCCATTTCACCTTGCCCCCTCCAGGCACAGCTCATGCCTGGCATACACGCCTGGAGTGTAACCCTGCAGGTGCAATCCCTGAAGAGAGTGTAGAGGATATATCCACACAGCGAGTCCAAGAGCAGAGCATCTTGCCACAGGGGCACAACAGGTTCACCCTCAAGGGCAGCAGCAGGAAGGAGCTGAGCGCAGCAGCCAGACCCAAGCCAGACCCAGCTGGATTGGTCCAAACGTTGTAGAGCTGCACCTGAACTTCAGTACGTGCGAAGGTTATAACTACAGCAAAGATCTGCAACAAAGGTCAGAAGACAGTGCTACACAAAATGAAGAGAAGGGACAAAATGCTGCAACCTCAGAACCCAAGTCCACTTGCATCAAGTGCAGAGGACACTAACACAGAAAAAATTGAAAATCACACAGCTGAAAGCAATGAATCAATGGCTTATGAAATAAAGAAACAGCTGCAGAAAAATATCGAAGACGGCAGATTGGAAATAAAAAAGAAAATCCCTGAATTAATAACATCTG